GCATAGCACCAGAAGGAAACATTAGATTTGCATTCATTCCTGCAGTTTGGGAAACAAGCATGCCACTTAAGGAAACAATAGAATAGGGGCCTAATGACTAATATGAACATTGATATCTGCAAATATATTTCCTGACAGTGCCTCGGAAGAGGAACCGTTTTCCTTCATATTTGATGACTTTTCATTTGTGGTTGTGGATAAGCCAGCCATTAAATCATAAACATCAATTTTCTGGTTCTGTTGCTCCAATGGAAGATTAGTACTGCTCTCAAAAATATCAAATGGCTCAAAGGCCTTTTCATCTGGGGCGACGTGATTGCCATTGGCAGCCAACTTCCTGTCAATAGTCATACCAGAAAAGAGATCATCCGCATTTTCTTTAACTTCACCAGCAAGAAATGACACGTCTGCAAAAGGGTCATCATCATTTTCCCATGAGCAATGCTAGGAACACTCGCCATTTGCACTCTCCAACCAACACTTCCATTTTCACTGGGTCACGTTATGTTGGTTGGGAGAGGTAATCATTTCATAGCAGAAGCAAGCTTAGGTGGCCTAATAAAAAAGCACGTGTTGGCTGGAGAGTGCAGGAGGCGAGTGCCCCTAGCACTGCTCTTTTCCCATTTGGTGGTGCTGTGTCCAAAACCCATTCCATCTCCGAATAAATCATCAAGCCCCTATTTCGCATTCAAAAGGCTCAACACCTATTAACCAAGACCAAATCATATATGTCAGTATAGCACCCAGGCCATGGAATCAGATAACAGATTACAGATTCTGACCAAGCTAATCAATTGGCATTGATTTATCTAAACAGGATTTATTACACTGAATATTACATTGAAAAACAAAAACATCACACATGTTATAAACATATAATCAATTCAAAGAAGACTAAATTTAGGCAAGATAGTAAAAAAAAATTACTGAAGTGAAACACGATAACACATTTCACCGTAAGCAGCCCAACAGACTACAAAATCTTTGGATTTGACCAGAAGTCCTAAAATGAGTTGTCCCTTAATACAAATAAAAAGTAAAAGCATACAAATGAAAGTAAAGTAAATTCTTTTCTCTGGAAATATGTCCAGTACTCAACTTCATCTACTTCTTTTTTCAAAATTCAAGAAAAAGACTACACTAAAAAGTTGCAAGAAACTTCAATTATTCTGATATGAAGTCAGCTGACTGAACCATGATCGTGACCGCAAAACATTTGCTGCAATGAGTTATGGGTATTACACAAACAAATAATTTTATCAACAGGCACTTGGACACTAATGGTAGCTTGTTACTGCATTTTATCTATTTACATAAAACTGAGATATGGAAACTTCTAAGATCACCTTGGTACCTTTGTCTCTCAGAGAAGCTTGAGGAGACTTATAACATCTAACTAAAACATCTTAATTTTCAGTGAAATAAGAGGCTGCAATGGAAAAATGTTCATCTTCCTTTCACCTCAAAAGGGCCTTGAGTACACAAACAGCTTTCATTCAAACCTGATCACCAAGCAAGTTATAAAAAAAAAGAAAAGAAAAAAAAAGAAAAGAAAGAAGAACACTATATAAGCTGTGCATTTAAATTAATAAGATGTCACTTTAAGATGTTATGCACCCATTCTGTCAAGAGAAATCAACTTAAATAACATTATAAGAAGATGAACATGGGGACTCAATCCAGGCTATGACTTGGAGAGGAGATTGTCATTTCATAATTCAATAAATACATGCCTGCCACAGTGGAGATTGAAGCTTTGATTCAATGGCATGACTTAAAGCCAAAGTGTCAAGCATTGCAGCCTCCATAGGGGAAAGTTTGAATGGCATCTCGAGTGGGTTGTAGGCGTACACCACCAAATGTTACAGTGGTCTCCAACAGCCTCTCTTCATGAGCTTTGGTCTCTGAATAACTTGATGCAGATTCCCCATTACTTGTTTCCATGTTTTATACCCTTGAACCCCACCCCCAAGGTCCAACTGCCCTTGGTAATGTAATAACTGACATACTTCTACTGAATTTTGTTGCCTCTCCCTTCGGAATTCCATGCCAGGCCTTACCACTACGTATTTTATCAACCTTAGAGCCTGCAAAATCCAAGAATACATGTATAACATCTTTAAACTTTAAGGCTTTTGATTTTGGGTTAAATCTTTCCTACATGTCATCCTTATAAAATATCAATCTATCACCACAACATGTAAGTAGTTGCTGGATTAAGAAATTCGGTACCGGATGAATTTGAGTACTTTTTAGGCACTGTTCTGTTGTTTATTGTATATTCAGGTGAATAATGTATTCCTTCCCAATGGGGATTATCATTGAAAAGTTTCAGTAATTATTACAATTAAAGCACATGCTAAATCAGATCAAGAAATTTTCAATTGCAACTGTAGAAGTCATTCACAATGACAAAATTTCACAGGTACGAACCATAAAGGCATAAACCAAAAATGACAGAATCATGCAACTCAAAATCTTCATTTTACACAAGTCAACTTTTGTAGGAAAGACATGCCGGTAAAAAAGGGGTTAAAGAAGTGAATTTTTATTTGCAAACTTTGAAATGCAAATTAGCCATCCTGAATTCCTAAACATACCTTAAGATGTGTCCTCTGGAACTCGATAGTGTTAATCTCATGAAACTAACTGAAGAAGAACAAATTTACCAACATCATTTAACTGCTTGACCAAGTTGATTTTTCTCATCATTAAATTCTTAAGTTCAACCAAAACATTGATAGTCAATGTGAAGGCATAATTTTCATTCAATCACCTTGAAAATTTTCCAAAATAAAATAGGATAAAGATATGAAGCAAACTAAGTAGAATACCTTCTCCTTGACAACTGGGCTTTTGTGCTCAAGCCGCTTCAAAATAT